TGGAGGGTGGGATGTACTGGAATGGGAGCTATGCTGGGAGGAAGAATTTGGTGGGTGGAAGAGAATTTATTCGGAGAGAGGTATTGGGGAGAAGGAGGGTTTGTTCTGGTAGGGGAAGAGGATTTGTATTAGGAGGCAGAAATGAGGGGGATGAGAAGAAGATATGGGATGGGAAAGAAGAGGGGATTGTTTGGACTGGCGATTTTGGGGGTGATGGAGGAGAACTTGTACTAAAGAAGAAGGAAGAAGATTTGTTTTGGGGGGGGGGGTTGTTCTGGAAGGGAGAGAAATAATTTTTGCTAGTGCGAGGGAGGGTGAGCATAAAGATTAGTGCTGGATGTTTTTTTCTTTTTGCAGGAGATGGAGTGGGGATTTTTGATGAAAGGGTAAAGTGGGGGAGAGTATTGCTCATGGGAGGAATTTTGCACTCCTGTACCCATACACTGTGTGTTACATGCCCCTGACTCCTGCACTTTTGTTTTGTACTCCCATAGTGTAAAATTGCTTGGTACCTTTATTGGGGGTAATTATATGAATATACAAATTGTAAATCAAAGATGGAAGTAAGACCCAAACCCTCTCCTCTCCCTACTCCTATCGCCTGGACCAATTTAGACTTACCTGGAACCTGCAGTCAGTGTTCTCACTCCTGGGGAACAGACAAGTCCTGTCTGATAGAGCTACAAGGTCAGCGGCTTCCATCTTTGATTTACAACAAAGCTGATTACACCAGGTGCCGGGCTATAGCCAATTTTCTTGTGAGTGTATATTCATATAATTACGCCCAAAAAAGGTACCAAGCAATTTTACACTATGTGATGTCCCTTTTTTTCTTCATACATGGTGTTACATTTCTTTGCTGCTTGCGGAGCTGTGGAGACAGCGGGCGTTTTAGGAAATTGTTACTTATATGTCACAGACCGCCTTAAGGATAGATGATCACAGGCTAAAGGATCCGGGGACCATTGGCTTACTGGGATTGTCCCACAAAGCGTTAATGACCAATCTAGAGATAGATGGATATGGAATTATTATTATTATACAGTATTTATATAGCACCAAAAGTTCGCTCAGCGCTGTATATTACAATGGGGGACAATACATGAGACAGCACAATAACAATACAGTGCGAAACATGAGGGGTTCGAGGGCCCTGCTCCTTGGAGCTTACAATCTAGGAGGGAGGGTATAATGGTACGGAAGGAAAAGCTGTGGGGTTGGAGTGGTAGGAAGAGTGGAGGAGATCGGAAGTTAGCAGAGGGTGGGGTAGGCTTCCCTGAAGAGGTGGGTTTTTGGGGTGCGTCTAAAAGAGAGGAGAGTGGGTGATAGTCTGATGGATTGGGGTAGGGAGTTCCAGAGGATGGGGGATGCCCTGAAGAAGTCCTGGAGGCGGGCATGGGAGAAGGAGATCAGGGAACTAGAGAGAAGGAGGTCTTTTGATGAGCAGAGAGTGCGTGTTGGGTGGTATTTGGATATTAGGTCAGTGATGTAGTTTGGGTCAGTATGATGGACAGCTTTGTACATCAATGTTAGCAGTTTGAATTTGATCCGTTGGGCAATCGGAAGACAGTGTAGGGATTGGCAGAGGGGGGTGGCGGAAACGGAGCGGTTGGTAAGGTGGATGAGTCTGGCTGCCATATTCAGGATAGACTGAAGCGGGGATAGCCTGTTGTGAGGCAGGCCAATGAGGAGGGAGTTGCAGTAATCGAGTCGTGATATGATGAGGGAGTAGATGAGCTTCTTAGTAGTTTCAGGGGTTAGGAATGGGTGTATTTTGGTGATGTTGCGGAGGTGGAGTCTGCATCAGTTTGTTAGCGATTGGACTTGGGGCTGGAAGGATAGATTGGAGTCTAGTATGACACCAAGTACTCTGGCTTGCGACGTGAGCTTGATGGTGGCATGGTTGGACGTGATGGAGAAGTCGGGGGGGGGTGCGCGGGCTGGAGGGAAGACTAGGAGCTCAGTTTTGGAGAGGATCAGTTTAAGGAGGTGGAGCGACATCCAATCTGGAATGAGGGCGAGTGTCAATCCATGTGGGGCACTTTTGTTGAGCACAGTGGAGCACCAATCAGGATATTGAATACAAGTTGAACACAGGCACGAGCACTTTCTTTTACACTAATTTTGGGACTGGTTTATAATATGTCTAAAATATGCACATGTTTATGACCATACATGGTTCATCTGTTTATTAACCACTTGCCATAGCCGAATGACGGCTTCACCGCGGCCGGCCAGTTCTGAGTGGACGTCATATGACGTCCTCCCAGAACGCGCTCTCCTGCGCGCCCCAGGGGGCGCGCACCCAGCGATCTCCGTGATCGCTGTGTCCTACGGACACAGCTGATCACGAAATGTGGTGAAAGGCCGATCCCACCGGCCTTTTACCACGTGATCAGCGGTGTCCAATGACACGCTGATCACAGGAAAATGCAAGTGCCGGTTCTCGGCTGCACTTTCCTCACGCTGTCAGATCGTGAGGAAAGTACTGCCGAGAACCGGCAGTTGTCAGAGCGGGGATCGGCACCGATCATCAGGGCACTGATGATCAGTGCCCTGATGATCGGTGCCCAGCAGTGACCCCCGCAAGTTCCGATCAGCTGTGCGCCCACTAGCCCCGCCCACCCATTCCCAGCAGTGCCCCCACCTGTGCCCAGCAGTGCCCCCACCTGTGCCCAGCAGTGCCCTCACCTGTGCCACTCTGCAGTGCCACCTACCTGTGCCCAGCAGTGCCACCTACATGTGCCCAGCAGTGCCACCCACCTGTGCCCACCCACCTGTGCCCACCAGCGCCACCCACCTGTGCCCACCAGTGCCACCCACCTGTGCCCACCCACCAGTGCTGTCCACCAGTGCCACCCACCAGTGCCACCCACCAGTGCTGCCAGTCAGTGCCACCAGTCAGTGCCCAGGGGTTGTGCCAGTCAGTGCCGCCAGTCAGTGCCCAGAAGTGATGCCAGTCAGTGCCGTCTATCAGTACCCATCATCAGTGTCACCTATCAGTGCCGCCTATCAGTGCTGCATATCAGTGCCGCCTATCCGTGACCCCTAATTAGTGCTGTCTATCAGTGCCGCCTATCCGTGCCACCTCATTAGTACTGCCTATCAGTGCCCTTTAGTGCTGCCTATCAGTGCCCATCAGTGCCGCCTATCAGTGCCCATCAGTGCCGCCTCATCAACGCAAATCAGTGAAGGAGAAAAAATACCTGTTTGAAAAATTTTATAAAAGAAACAAATAAACTTTTTTTTTTTTTTCAAATTTTTTGCACATTTTTTAATTTATAGCGCAAAAAGTAAAGCTCCCAGTGGCGATTAAATACCACCAAAAGAAAGCTCTATTTGTGAGAAAAAAATGATCAAAATTTCATATGGGTACAATGTTGCATGACCGCGCAATTGTCAATCAAAGTGCGGCAGCGCTGAAAGCTGAAAATTGGCCTGGTAAGGAAGGGGGTATAAGTGCCTGGTAGGCAAGTGGTTAATTTTATACAAAGTTTCATGTTGAATGAACATAAATTAGCTAATTTACTAAATACTGAGATAACGAGTAATGTTGAAAATATAACTTCCAGCCCAATGTAAACATTGTTTTTTTTTTTTTAACGTATAAATTGATTGCAATCTGCACTGTACAATATAAAGTGCAGCATGACTTCAGAGCAGGACTTAAAATAAGAAATCAGGGTAACCTTTACATTTAACATTCTTTAATAATAGGCTGACTGGAATCAAATTTGATGGGAGATGGATATTGTTTAGTTATACATCTTCGGATTTACTTTTCTTTGCTAGTTTGTAATACATGTGCATTAAAAAAGCATCATTTATGGTTTCCGGCAGTGACAATACAGAATCAAACAGGGATCTGTGGCAGCAATGTCAATGCTTTCACTAGGCAAACTAGGCAAGTGCCTAGGGCGCACCGCCACCTAGGGTGTCACGTACCTTACTTGTGAGCATGATGGCAGAGGAAGGCCTCTCGTACGGCTCCGGGTCGAGTACCACTGACAGCAACCACAAGAGCACGGCGGGGTATGAGTGCCTGGTCAGTCCTGTAGTCTGTGCGGGAATTGCTGGCACTTCGCTGGCAGAAGGGACGGCTGGACCGGCTGGCAGCAATGTAGGCTGGTAGCAGGCAGATGTCACATCTGGACTGGCTGGTGGCAGAGCAGGCTGGTAGCAGAGCAGGCAGGCAGTGGAGCAGGCTGGTAGCAGACTGTATGCAGGGTCAGCCAAGCCAGGTCGGTAACAGATAAGCGGATCAGGCATGAATGGCAGGCAGAAGAATAGTCAGGTCACAAGCCAAGGTCGGTGATGGTGGAAGCAGATCAGGCAGATACAGAAGGCAGAAGCGGAGTCCAAAAAGCAAGCCGGGGTCAACACAGGTATCAGTCACAGGATTAGTCACAGGAATACGGGGGGGGGGGGTTACAGATCAGACAGCAATTCACTAGTGCAGCTCTTGCAACTATATAGGCCAGTGGGTGCCAGAATTAGCCAATGCACATTTCCGTGTGGGTATGCCTGTGCATGCGCATATGTGTGCGCATATGAGCACGGCCACGCACAACAGTATGAGCATCTGCAGGCCCGCGCCTGTGCATTCGCGTGCGGCTACGAGCCTCAGCTATGCCATGGCCAACATGTCCCTGACATAGGGGCTCTTGGGCGCAGCCCAGGCTGACAATCTCTCTGTGTGGCCTATAGACCTCTTGTATGAATTCTTCATTTGTCTGCAGAGCCCCCCTCTCCTCATACACAGGGAATGATGAGGGAATGATGGTATCTTTACTCTGCACAATTGTTTCATATATATATATACATATACATACACTGTATTGCCAAAATAATTGGGACACCCCTCCAAATGATTGGATTCAGGTGTTCCAATCACCTCCATTGCCACAGGTGTATAAAATCAAGTACCTAGGCATGCAGAGTGCTTCTAAAATCATTTGTGAAAGAATGGGTCGCTGTTAAGAGCTCAGTGAATTCAAGAGATTTCCTTGGCACTAAATATTCCATGGTCAACTGTTAGTGGTATTATAACAAAGTGGAAGTAACTGGGAACAACAGCAACTCAGCCACAAAGTGGTAGGCCATGTGTGTGAAGCACACAAATCACCAACTGTCTGCAGAGTCAAGAGCTAAAGACCTCCAAACTTCATGTGGCCTTCAGATTATCGCAACAACAGTGCGTAGAAAGCTTAATGGAATGGGTTTCCATGGCCAAGCAGCTGCATCCAAGCCTTGCATCCCCATGTGCAATGCAAAACGTCGGATGCAGTGGTGTAAAGCACGCTGCCACTGAACTCTGGAGCAGTGGAGACATGTTTGCTGGAGTGACAAATCACTCTTCTCTGTCTGGCAATTCAATGGACGTGTCTGGGTTGGTAGTTGCCAGGAGAACGTTACTTGCCTGACTGCATTGTGCTAAGTGTAAAGTTTGGTGGAAGGGGGATTAGGATGTGCGTTTTTTTTTTTAATGGTTGGGCTTGGCCCCTTAGTTCCAGTGAAGGGAACTCTTAAGGTGTCAGCATACTAAGACACTTTGGATAATTTCATGCTCCCAACTTTGTGGGAACGGTTTGGGGGTGGCCCCTTCCTGTTCCAACATGACTGCGTACAAGTGCACAAAACAAGGTCTATAAAGCACAGAGTCCTGACTTCAACCCGACAGAACACCTTTGGGATGAATCAGAGCGGAAACTGCGAGCCAGGCCTTCTCGTCCGACATCAGTGCCTGACCTCACAAATGCACTTCTAGAAGAATGGTCAAACATTCCCATAGACACACTCCTAAACCTTGTGGACAGCCTTCCCAGAAGAGCTGAAGCTGTTATAGCTGCAAAGGGTGGGACAGCTCAATATTGAACGCTATGGTCTAAGACTGGGATGCCATTAAAGTTCATGTGCGTGTAAAGGCAGGCGTCCCAATATATATACAGTTAGGTCCATATATATTTGGACACAGGCACAAATTTAGTTTTTTCAGGTATTTACCAAAACATATTCAAGCTATAGTTATATAAGAGATATGGGCTGAAGTTATGGGCTCAGGTTTAATTTGAGGGTATGTACATCCAAATTGGAAGAATGGTTTAGGAATTACAGCTCTTAAGAGTAACCCTTCCCCTTTTTGCAAGGGAGCAAAAGTAATTGGACAAATGAATATAATCATAAATAAAATGTTAATATTTTTGTTGAGAATCCTTTACTGGCAATGACTGCGTGAAGTCTGGAACCCATGGACATTACCAAAGACTGGGTTTCCTCCTTTCTGATGGCTTGCCAGGCTCTAACTGCAGCTGTCTTTGGTTGTTCTTTGTTTGTAGGTCTTTCTGGCTTTAGTTCTGCCTTCAGCAAGTGAAATGCATGCTCAATTGGGTTGAGATCAGGTGATTGACTTTGCCATTGCAGAATATTCCACTTTTTTTTCTTCAAAGCTCCTGGATTGATTTTGCAGTGTGTTTTGGATCATTGTCCATCTGTACTGTGAATCAACTTTGCTGCATTTGGCTGAATCTGGGCTGACAGTATAACTCTAAACACTATAGAATTCATCCGGCTGCTTCTTTCTTCTGTCACATGATCAATAAACACCAATGACCCAGTGCCACTGGAAGCCATGCATGCCAATGTCATCACACTGCCTCCACCATGTTTTACAGATGACATTTGGGTCATGAGCTGTTCAAAGCCTTTTCCAAACTTCTTTCTTCCCATTATTCTGGTACAGATTAATCTTAGTTTCATCCATCCAAAGAATGTTTTCCAGAACTGGTCTGGCTTTTTTAGATGTTTTTTGGCAAAGTTTAATCTGGCTTTTCTATTCAGGCTTATGAATGGTTTGCACCTTGTGGTGAACCCTCTGCATTTGCTCTCGTGAAGTCTTCTCTTGATTGTAGACTTTGACAATAATACGCCCACCTCCTGGAGAGTGTCCTTCACTTGCTCGATGTTGTGAATGGGTTTGTTTTACCATAGAGAGGATCCTGCGATCATCCACCACTGTTGTCTTCCGTGAACGTCTATGTCTTTTTATGTTGCTGAGCTCACCAGTGCGTTCTTCTTTCCTCAGAATGTACCAAACTGTTGATTTGGCCACTCCTAATGTTGCTGCTATCTCCCTGATGGATTTGTTTTGTTTTTGGAGCCTTACAATGACCTGTTTCGTGGACAGCTCCTTTGAACGCATGATGTAGGTTCACAGCAATAGATTCCAAATGCAAATACCACACTTAGAATCAACTCCAGACCTTTTTCCTGCTTAATTGATGAAGAAATAACGAAAGAGTCGCCCACACCTGGCCATGAAACAGCTTTTGATTCAATTGTCCAATTACTTTTGGTCCCTTGAAAAAGGGGGGGATGGCTAATCTTAAAAGCTGTAATTCCTAAATCCTTCCTCCAATTTGGATGTACATACCCTCAAATTAAACCTGAGAGTGTGTACTTTCAGCCCATATCCAATATATAACTATAGCTTGAACATGTTTTGGTAAATACCTGAAAAAACTAAAATTTTGCCTGTGTCCAAATATATATGATATATGGACTTAACTGTGTATATATATATATATATATATATATATATATATGTGTGTGTGTGTGACAGTATTCCATGTAGCAGTGAAGTGTCATCTCCCCCTAGGGTGGGAAGTGATGACATTAGCCCAGGATCCCTGGCGGTCAGCAGTCTCTGATTGGTGGATCGCCCTGTACATCTCTGGTACACATACTGGCACACATGATCCTCCAGCTGTAACAGGGAGCCGGCTAGTGACCTAATAGGGCATAGTCCAGTTCTGGCTCTGTCTTTTTTTACACAGCTGCAGCCAATCAAATATCGGGGGTATGCTCTGGTTGCAGGATTAACCCCATGTAAGTAGGATGATTGGGGCCTGATGTGTATGAGAGAGAAGTGGTTTAGTGCCGGGAGACTGCCTGTCTTCACTGAGAGCCACAGCCTGGATTCCACACCCCGGCAGGAGCCATCAGAGGTGATCTGAGCCTAGGAGAATGGTAGGTCATGGTGGTGACAGGAGGAGGAGGAGGGCAGACAATAGTCCAGGTGAATGCTAATTGATCGTGTGGGATGCCTTTACATCATGAATGATCCTTCAGCTGAGAGGAGGGGCGGCAGAGGGGGAGAGAGAAAGGACAGAGGAAGATGCCAGATATTTGGAGCCAGTGTAGCAGCTGAGCTGCCATTCCTTCCAATGTTCCTTTCAGACTCAGTCCCTTACTGCAAGCCGGCTGGTGGCTGCTGATCAATATGGAGTTCTGTAACTCTGTCTTTTTTTTGTGTCTCTGGCTGATTGGTTAATACAGTTAATTTATATTTGGTTAATATATATTATGTCTCTAATATCAGTGCTGGTGGCATCTTATGGCAGTTATTTTTGGAAAATAAAAGAAATTTAGCAGTTTCATGTTTTGTTGATTTAATATTTTCTACAGTTTTTAAATGTTTTTTTTTGGGGGGGGTTGGCGCAAGTAGCTGGTCCTGCCTAGGGTGCAAAAGAGTCTAGCACCAGCCCTGTGTGGCAGATACCTTCCATGTTGTTCTCAGTCCTGGCCTGCAGCTACAGTTGCAAGAAAAAGTATGTGAACCCCTTGGGATTAATTGGAGTTTTCCATGAATTGGGCATAAAATGTGCTCTGAACGTCATCTATGTCACAACAATAGAAGAACACAGTCTGCTGAACATAATACTACACAAACATTAGATGTTGCCATGGTTTAATTGCACATAACATGTAAACATTCACAGTGCAGGGAGGAAAAAGTATGTGAACCTTTGGACTTAATGACTGGTTGACCCTCCTTTGGCAGCAATAACCTCAACCAAATGTTTCCTGTAGTTGCAGATCAGACCTGCACAATGATCTGGAGTAATTTTGGACCACTCCTCTTCACAAAACTGTTTCAGTGTAGCAATATTCTTGGGATGTCTGGTGTGAATCGCTCTCTTAAGGTCATGCCACAGCATTTCAATCGGGTTGAGGTCAGGACTCTGACTGGGCCATTACAGAAGGCGTATTCTGTGCTGTTGCAGCCATTATTTTGTTGAATTACTTGTATGCTTTGGGTCATTGTCCTGTTGCATCACCCATCCTCTGCGGAGCTTCAGTTGGCAGACAGATGGTCGTACGTTTTCCTGCAAAATGTCTTGATAAACTCTGGAATTCATTTTCCCATCAATGACAACAATCCGTCCAGGAACTGAGGCAGCAAAGCAGCCCCAAACCATGATGCTCCCTCCGACATGTTTTACAGTGGGGATGTGGTTTTGATGTTGGTGTGCTGTGCCTTTTTTTCTCCACACATAGTGTTGTGTGTTCTTCCCAAACAACTCAATCTTGGTTTCATCTGTCCACAGTATATATTGCCAGTAGTGCTGTGGAACATCCAGGTGCTCTTTTGCAAACTCCAAACGTGCTGCAATATTCTTTTTGGACAGCAATGGCTTCCTCCATGGTGTCCTCCCATGTACTCCATTATTGTTTAATGTTTTCCTTATTGTAGATGTGTCAACAAAAATGTTAGCATGTGCCAGAGATTTCTGTAGGTCTTTAGCTGACACTCTGGGATTCTTCTTTACCTCATGCAGCATTCTGCTCTGTGCTCTTGCAGTCATTTTTACAGGACGACCACACCTAGGGAGAGTAGCAACAGTGCTAAACTTTCTCCATTTGTAGACAGCCTGTCTTACCGTGGACACATGAACATCAAGGCTTTTGGAGATACTTTTGTAACCCTTTCCAGCTTCATGCAAGTCAACAATTCTTGATCGTAGGTCTTCTGAGAGCTCTTTTCTGCGAGGCATGGTTCACATCAGACAGTGCTTCTTGAAACCAGTAAACCCAAAACAGGTGTGTGTTTTTTAAGGGCAAGACAGCTGTCAGCAACACATCCAATATCATCACACTGATTGGAGTCAAGGTTGGCTCACTCCTGGCTCCAGTTAGCTCTTGGAGAAGTCATTAAGCTAGGGCCTCACATACTTTTTCCTCCCTGCACTGTGAATGTTCACATGTTATGTGCAATTAAACCATGCCAACATCTAATGTTTGTGTAGTA